GAGCTACTATTTTTTATATATATATATATATATATATATATATATATATCATCATCATCATTATTACTACCACTACTACTACTGTTATTATTATTGTTGTCATAACCACTACCATTACTATCATTACTATTATTGTTGTATTTGTTTCCTGGCAAAATGAAATTTTACCATTCAACTGCATCCATTTTTATTTATTTTTTGTCTTAGTATTGCTTCTATATGTGAATAGCTATGACATATATTCTACATTTAGTTACCAATTATATTTGATTAATATACTACATCTAATACATTTAAATTGATATAAAACATTTAATTTAAATAATATATTTTATATATTGGATTTTTATTCCATTTTATTTGAATAGAATTCAAATTATATTCATTTAGAATTTCTTAGAATTTATTGTCCTAAATTATAATTTAAAATGATGTACCATTATTATTGTTGTTGTTGTTGAAATAACAAAAAACATAAATTTGATTTAAAGAATAAAATGAAAGACCATAATTTTTTTTTGACAAAAAGACAAAAAAAAATAGAAGAAAAGGAGCCACATCAAAATTAGTATTGCTCCTATTGAAAAAACAAAAGCATAAAACTTGATATAAGGGATAAAATTAAAAATCATAGAAACTTTAACAAAAGAGCAATGAAAAAAAACTAATTGAAAATATTATATATACAAATTTGAATTAAAGGATTAAATTGAGAACAAATAAAACTTTAACACAAGAGAAAATGACAAAGATAAAAAATAAAAACTCAAATGACTGAATTTGAAACACCAACACCAATAAGGACCCAATTTTATTTTTTAGGGTAGGAGAAAGAGAAAAAAAAAAGAGTCATCAATGACAAACCAACAATCTTTAGCAAACAGAAGCCACCAATAAATGAAAATAACACGAAGGATAGTCAAATGAGAAAGTGGAAGCTCATTTTCTATAATTGGAAGATGCCACACGCACTAGCTAAAGTGCATTGCATCTCCTACGCGCCAATAACTTTTTACATTTAAAAATTAAAGATTAAATAGTAAATTATGTTATTACCCTTAATAAAATCAATAATTACCAAAAAAAAAACCAACATAAAAAGATATCAATATTTTTGTTTCAACGACTTAATTTTTTTGTTCTTAAGATCACATATATAGTTTTCTAATATGCTAAAAAAGAAAAAAACAACAACAACACCATTACCTTATAGTGTTATTTTTTTTTATCCTACAGGCATTTGGATTCCTTTACTTTTCATAAATATATTGCATACATAAAAATATCTCCAAACAAATCCATAATCCATAATGAACCACATGCATATACAAAAATGCCTCTAGTTAAAGGCAAACAATTTTTCATATGAAAGACAAAAAAATATCACCACACTATATTGGTAAATAAGAAAACACGAGGTAAGCAACAATGAATCCTCCTTTTGTTTTAGTTGTTT